ACATGTTAGTGTACCGCATGTACCGCGGTGTGTTTAAAGTTTCCGTGTGTCCAGTGAGGTCTGAGCCAGACCTGAGTAGCACCACTGTGTTAAGTCACCCGTGTGACCAGTGTGTTTGACAGCTGATGTCAAGACAGCCCCGAGTGACCGAGCCCTCTTGTACAGAAAGCTTTAATGCTCGTTGCTCGTGATGTTCTGCAGAATAGTACCTGCTACGATTCCCATCGAGATTTGTTTCACTTCACCTCCAGACCGTCAGAGTGCAGTTATATGTAGAGAAACAAGTCTGGGGACGCTTAGACTAACCTCTGCTATAACTCCAACTGCCGAGAGAATGACACACTGTGTCAGCCTCGTGTCACAAGCTTCAGTGAGCAGCCTGCACAAAGAAGATGTCACTTTGACTGATAGCTCTCTCACATGATGTTACGACTCCCAGATGTTTCGCCCAGTCGTCTCTGCCACGACTCGCTCCACAACTCGCTCCACGCTCCGCCGGCGGACAGCCAGCGACAGTACCAGTTTGAGAAGTGTCTCCTGAGTCGCTTGCCAGAAGTCCTGCCCAGTTGCCAAGTTTTGTCGACGCCTCACTCGAGGGCACCAGCATGTCGTGCCCAGGTTTTAGTGAAAACCTGCAGCGACTCCTACGATGACGCTTCCAAACCGTTCCAGAGGAGACCGTACCCTGTTACGTCACAGCTCAGCCGCAGCGATGTCTCCCGTGTTGCAGTATCTGTCCAGACGCAGGAAGGCGTGCAGTGATGCCCTTCGATGCTCACTGCCTATGACCACGATGTTTAGCACACCCCACATATTTTTTTCTTCCCTCCTTGTAGGAAGTTTTTTTTCCATATTCATATGTATATGTTTTTATTTTGTGTTCTGTGCCCTGTTCTTACGAGAGAGAGACCGAGCTCCTTTTACCACCAGTATTGTCGCGTCGGGACGACGCGCGGTAGGTGGCCGAGCGTATGTAGACAGCCTGTACTGTTTGCACAGACAGCCCATGCTGTCTGCCAGCTTAGTTCATATTTCGCGCCACTCAGATGCTGTCCTCTGTAGACAGGCCTCTCGGTAGGCACGCCAGCCTGTCTGCCCTTGCCTCACTCACTCACACAGCGGCCTAGCAGCAAGACACAAGGCCTCCCAGCTCTCTCTCGTGGGATGGCCCTGCCCGGGCCATGGGCCCAAACACACAAGCCACCACGACTTAACAATAAAGTAAGAAGCCTCCGAAGATATATCATTAACCACCCGCTTGCAGCACCTACCAAACAAACCCATTAAACACACTCCCTGCATGCCTGCTACACTTCCTGCAAGCCTGCTACACTCTGTATGCCTGCTACACTCCCTGTATGCCTGCTACACTCCCTGCATGCCTGCTACCCTCCCTGTATGCCTGCTACATTTCCTGTATGCCTGCTACACTCCCTGCATGCCTGCTACACTTCCTGCAAGCCTGCTACACTCTGTATGCCTGCTACACTCCCTGTATGAATGCTACACTCCCTGCATGCCTGATACACTTCATGCTTAAATTCCATGGTGATTCTCACTTTCCCCACTACAGGAACTTACTTTTCATTTGTTTTTGCTGCACATAAACATGTCTGTTTGTCTGTGTGTGCATCTTTCCATCTGCTTGTCTCTGTCTCAGGGAGCAGCTAGTAAACCTGTTGGTCTGTGGTTTATGTGCTGCTCCCTGACTGCTGAGCAAGTGACACTGCTATTACTTGCGTCATGTTTATTTATGTCATTTATCTACACTGTATAGCACTTTGCCTGGAATTTTTGGATTATCCTAAGTAATTTACAAGACGTATAATAACTGTACTTCTGTGTACATGTGAGAGACAGAGACAGACAGATATATAGACAGAGATATAGATAGAGATAAAGGCAAATAGGCAGAGATATAGACAGACAGAGAAAGCCAAAGCCAGCCAGCCAGCCAGCTGGCCAGTCTGCCAAATACATAAGAACATAAGAAAGAAGGAACACCACAGCAGGCCTACTGGCCCATGCAAGGCAGGTCACTGTCACTCCCCGGCTTAGACCAATTGACCCACCTAGTCATGTTACATCCACTGAAGGAAGGAGCATGGCATCTGACCTAGTAGCACAAGCTAATCAGGTCCAACTCACACCCACCTACACCCACTCACACATTTATCTAACCTATTTTTACCTTCGTCTTAAAATGGGAGTGTTAATAGGACATGACAACAGTGAATCCCTGGTTTTTGCCATGCTATTTGCTCTAGCTGGCACTCAACTGAACTGGTGCTCCCACAAGGCACTGAGTGGTTCCTGACTTTTTTCATACCGGGCACACTGTGTGCAGACCCATTCTTTCATGTCTAGGCGACTCAGGCCTATCGAACCAAATTTGAAGGAGCGCTGCGCATGTGCACATAGATCTAAGTGTAGACAGTTTACGGGTTAAGTACTGAAATGGTAATCAACCAGTTACAAACACATTGACAGGTGAACATTTTCACCTGCCTTGGTCACATACTATTGAAATATATACAAAGTATTTATAGGTCCCAGCAATGTTTTAGACATGGAGTATATGAAACTCCTTGAAGCACGGTGTAAAACGTGTGTCACTCCACTGTTGACGGTACAGCACTCTAATATTGATAATTGTGCACTGCTCCAGTGAACCTTGGCTTTATTTGTTCTCACTGTTAACACAAACACGTCTATGTATCTCTGTCTAGCTCAGTCTCTGTTTGTCTCTGCTTATCAGTCTTTCTGTCTGCCTGTGTGTCTGTCTTCCTGTCTCTGTCTGCTTGTCTCTGTCTCAGGGAGAGCCGCTCATGAACCAACAGGTATTACAAATAATGCAGAGTCACCACTTTTGATTCCTCAACATATGAAACTGCATATTACTTGCCAATAATATGCAGTTATCTTGGGTAATTTACACTGTGTGAGATAACTGTACTTATATGTACCTGTGAGACAGAGACAGTGACAGAGAGAGACACAGGCATAGATACAGACAAATACAGACAGCCAAGGTCAATCAGCCAGCTGACCTGTTCAACATGTATTACACATAGGGCATAGGTTATAGGACATTCTGGCCAGATGACACTACCAGCGGTATCAAAATTGAAAGCATGTGGCACAAATGTTGTACATGGCCTATTATCGAGGTTTTGATATTTCCTCAACCACTTGTGGCCACATTCATCTCAAAGCCACTAAACTTGGGGTCAAAATACTTTTCTCCAAAAAGGGAAGTGTTAAATATGACATGGCACCAATGAATCCCTGGTGTTTGCCACGCTGTTTGCTCTAGCTGGCGATCAATTGAACTGGTGCTCCCACAAGGTACTAAGTGGTCCCACACCGCACACACACAAGTGTTAAAACCCATTCTATACTGACCAGGTATCTCAGGCCATTTCGTGCCAAATTTGGAGGTAGGAACAATAAAATGTCGATCTATGTTTGGAATTCTAGCAGTGAAAATGTAAATCTATGTTTGGACAGTTAAGGGGTTAATTGTGACAAGACAGGCCTCTTCCGGAAGAAAATGTCCAAGAGGACATGAATAACTGAAATGAAACGTCAATGCCAGGACACAAGCCAAATGAAAGACAAGCTCACTCTGTTATTGTGTGGTAATTCAAGTGGGGATTTGAAATTGAAGCCCTTACTTGTTTATCATTCTGAAAATCCATGAGTTTTTTAAGAACAATAATGTTATGAAAACAAATTGGCAGTTAAATTTTCATTTACTGTACAGTATTTCAGTTAAACTTTTATTTAGTATTCACTTTACTGTTTCTCTGTGATGACTAATTTTATACATTGTTCTAGTATGTAGTAGTTAGTACATTTTTTCCCACCAGTTTTGGTTGTCAAATCAACATCTACAACGAATTAAATTCTAAAACCAAGGTTCCACTGTATATAATAGTGTAAATATGTTATCAGGTTTTTATATATATTTGAAAGTGAAAAAAGGCTGTGCTTTACTTTACAGTGATTTTCACCTTACAAAAGTAGTCGGGAACCTAACTGGGAAATACAGGTGGGGCCTGCCTGTATATCGGCTATTTTGAGCAAAAGTACAAGCTACTTCCGGTCCTGAAACCCACTAAAATCATCTCTATTTCAGTAGAATGTCTTCCATTTTATCAAAAGATATCAAGGAACAGCCAAAAAACTATAAAAACCATCTAAGTAAACACTTCAAAGTTATTTTAAACTATACACAGTCAGTTTTGCTTTTCCCATCATGCACCATGTGGGATAGGATTTTTTTTATACTGTGCACACTCACCATACAAACCCATTATCTCGTATCTAGGCCAAAAATTACTACTCACAGATTATCTGAGTGAGCTGAATTTATGACAGAACTACACGAGTGACCCTGGCCTCATGACATAGTTCTACGTAATGGCCACTAAAAAGGTTATTATAAGTATGAAGTACTAGTTTTTTTTTTTTCAACAAACTGGCCATATCCCACTGATGCAGGGTGACCTAAAAAGAAAAACAAGTTTCTCTTTTTAAATTCAGTAAAATATACAGAAAGAGTTACTAGCCCCTTGCTCACAGCATTTTAGTCACCTCTTACGACACGCATTGCTTATGGAGGAAGAATTCTGCTCCACCTTCCCATAGAGATAAGCAGAAATAAACAAGAACTAGTAAGAAAATAGAAGAAAACCCATATGGGTGTGTGTATATATATGCTTGTATATGCATGTCTAGTGTGACCAAAGTGTAAGTAGAAGTAGCAAGACATACCTGAAACCTTGCATGTTTACAAGACAGAAAAAAGACACCAGCACTCCTACCATCATGTAAAACAAAATACATGTTTCCATCTTACACTCGTTTGGCATGACAGTAGTACCTCCCTGGGTGGTTATTGTCTACCAACTATCAGCATATTACTGATAATGAGAAAAAAGATTTTAGTGCCAGGGAACCTGGGTAAGAGTCAACAAAAAGTATAATATATTTACCATCATGAAGATCTGGTGGAGTCTACCAATGGTCCAGCGGTACCAGTGTGTATTGAAATCCCGGCCATCCGTATCAAAACGTACAAGATGTTCCGAAAGGATCATAATAAAACGCTGTAAAAAAAAAAAAAAAAGTCAGCAAACACTAATAAACTTTTTTTTTTTTTTTCAACGTCGGCCATCTCCCATCTCTTTGCAGAGGTGCTCAGATACGACAGTTTAGATGTCACTCCAAACAGCCAATATTTCAAACCCCTCCTTTAAAGTGCAGGCATTGTACTTCCCACCTCCAGGACTCAAGTCTGGCTAATGGGTTTCCCTGAATCCCTTCACAAAATACAGTGGAACCCCGGTTAACGATATTTTTTCAATCCAGAAGTATGTTCAGGTGCAAGTACTGACCAAATTTGTTCCCATAAGGAATATTGTGAAGTAGATTAGTCCATTTCAGACCCCCAAACATACACGTACAAACGCACTTACATAAATACACTTACATAATTGGTCACATTCGGAGGTGATCGTTATGCAGGGGTCCACTGTATTACCCTGCTCATACTCCAACAGCTCATCAGATCCCCAAAACTATATTCTTCTCCATTCACTCCTGTAACTCACCCCCACATTCCTGCTGTATGTCTAAGCCCCTTGCACACAAACTCTTTTACCTCTCCCTCCATTCTTTCCTAGGATGACCCCTACCCCTTCTCCCCTCTACAATTTACACACCTTCCAAGTCATCCTATTTTGCTCCATCCTCTGTTAAATGACCCAAGAATCTCAACAGCCCCTCTTCAGCCTTCTGACTAACACTTTTATTAACTCCATACCTCCTCTTAATTTGCACACTATGAATTTTCTGCACAATATATACACCACACAGTGCCCTTAGACACGACATCTCCACTGCCTCCAGCCTCCTTGCTGCAGCATTTACAACCTATGCTTCACACCCTTATAAGAGTGCTGGTACCACTACACACTCATACATTCCTTTCTTTACCTCCATGGATAATGTTTTTGTCTCCATAGATACCTTAGTGCACCACCTACCTTTTTTTCCTTTCATCAATTATACGGCTAACCTCGTCCTTCATAAACCCATCTGCTGACAAGTCTACTCCCAAATATCTGAACATATTCACTTCTTCCACACTCACTCCCTCTAATGTGATATCCAATTTTTCTTTACCTAACTCAGTTGATACCCTTATCACATTACTCTTATCTATGTTCACTTTCAACTTTCTTCCTTAACACTTATCAGCTTTTATTCTTTTCCATTTCCTTTCACCAGTCACTTAAGATCCAACCATTCTTTTTCTTTTGTGACTGAGGAAAGGAATACAATGATTAAATCCTAATCTATGAATTGCACAAGTACAAAAGAACTACATCCAATGTTCAATAAGTTTGTAATATCACTTTGGCATAAAATTAGTAAACTGCTTTTATGCATTCAGAGGACAAATAGCCCTAGAGCAGCAAATAAATCTACTATAAAGAAAAATCTTGAAAATTCTCAGAGAAGCTGTTTAATAGTTTTAATCCCCTACCACCCCATACACTTTTTGGGGTAAAAATTTATTTAATTAGAACAACCATCTGTAGTGTAAAGCACCCTTCTGGCAAGACAGTGATGGAGTGAATGATGGTGAAAGTTTTTCTTTTTCGGGCCACCCTGCCTTGGTGGGAATCGGCCAGTGTGATAATAAAAATAATAAAAACCATCAATACACTAGCATAATATTTTTAAACAGAATATGAATCAACACTGGGTCCTCAGAAGCTGGACAGGAGTTGAGGAAGCCGGTAGAGCATTTCCTCAGAGCTCAAGGGTCTTCAATCCTACTGGGACAGATTGGTGCTGATGGACCAAACCCACTACCATTATTGCATGCTCCTCACTTAGCGACGAATTTGTTTACCGACGTGGTCTTAGGAACGGAACTCTGTCGTTAGCAAGGAGAGGCTGTATATAGAACAGACTCTTACATACTGCATGGGTCACATTTCTGAAATTAGCGCTATATGTAATATCACGATATGGAAACTAAAGAGCATATGGGAAAATACTTATGTTCCTGACTCCTCTAAAAAAACTTTTTTTTCCCATTTCGTAAGAAATAAGAGATGCCACTGCTTACTGGACCATATATATACAGTGGACCCCCGGTTAACGATATTTTTTCACTCCAGAAGTATGTTCAGGTGCCAGTACTGACCGAATTTGTTCCCATAAGAAATATTGTGAAGTAGATTAGTCCATTTCAGACCCCCAAACATACACGTACAAACGCACTTACATAAATACACTTACATAATTGGTTGCATTCGGAGGTAATCGTTATGCGGGGGTCCACTGTATATATACCTAACTTAACTTTAAAGCTAATAACTTAGGTGACTTTAAAATTAGATTAAACAACTATGAGTGAGATAGGTTTGATTTGAGAACAACTTGCCTAGCATGGGCCAGTAGGCCTACTACAATGCTGTTGTGTTAAGTTTTAACATTCTAATCTCTTAAGAACATTAGAGGAGCACTGCTATTGGCAAACTGGCCTAAATTAGGCAGGTCATACTCAAGTCTACTAGAGCTCTTTCTTCTTCTTTCAACAAACTGGCCATATCCCACCGAGGCAGGGTGGCCCAAAAAGAAAAACAAAGGTTTCTCTTTTTAAATTTAATAATATATACAGAAGAAGGGGTTACTAACCCCTTGCTCCCAGCATTTTAGTCACCTCTTACGACATGCACGGTTTATAGTGGATGAATTCTGTTCCGCTTCCCCACGGAGAACTCGTATATTTGTCCAACCTATATTTAAAGCTACCCAAGCTTAACGCTAACTTTAAAAATAGGTTGGACAAATATATGAGCGAGATGGGCTGGGCTTGAGAAGGACCTGACTAGCATTGGCCAGTAGGCCTATTGCAGTGCCCCTCTGTTCTTAAGCTCCTACAATATCCAGGAGTTTCATGTGCTGGTCAGGCACCAGGGAACACTGGTGAAAATAGTTTATCTAGCCCTGTACAATACCTGCACAAAACATGTAGAAGCAGTATCAGCTACCACCACCACTATTACCTGTCAGTATTGGTAAAAATAAGCCCAATCGTACCAATGGTTACTGTGACTTGTTGATGTGCGATGTGTGTGTGTAAAGGCTTGATGTGGTCCTGTACAACATATACCATACCAATATTGGTATGAGTCACATTTCCTTATTAAATTGTGCCAATAGTTGCTGTTACCCTAGGTAGTAGGTTGGTAGACAGCAACCGCCCAGGGAGGTACTACCGTCCTGCCAAGTGATTGTAAAACGAAAGCCTGTAATTGTTTTACATGATGGTAGGATTGCTGGTGTCCTTTTTTCTGTCTCATAAACATGTAAGATTTCAGGTACGTCTTGCTACTTCTACTTACACTTAGGTCACACTACACACATGTACAAACATATATATACACACCCCTCTGGGTTTTCTTCTATTTTCTTTCTAGTTCTTGTTTATTTCCTCTTATCTCTATGGGGAAGTGGAACAGAATTCTTCCTCCGTAAGCTATGCGTGTTGTAAGAGGCGATTAAAATGCCGGGAGCAAGGGGCTAGTAACCCCTTCTCCCGTATAAATTACTAAATTTAAAAAGAGAAACTTTTGTTTTTCTTTTTGGGCCATCCTGCCTTGGTGGGATACAACCGGTGCGTTGAAAAAAAAAAAAAAGTTGCTGTTACGTTTTGCATTTGTTTTTAAGTGTCTAAGCTCTCCCTACATCAAACATGAACTTGTAGCTTAACATGAACTTACTCTCCACACATTTCTAAATTAACCCTTAAACTGTCCAAACGTAGATCTATGTTCACGTGCGTAGCTCTCCAAATGTAGATATTTACATATAAAAAAAATGTAGGAGCGCTATGCACGTGAACGTAGATCTACTTTTGGACAGTTTAAGGGTTAACAAGCAACATCAACAACAATATAAAGTGTCAACTTTCATTATTTTTGACAAAAATCATTTAAAAAAATTGTTTCTTTTTCCAAGATGTAATGAACACAATCTAGTAATTCTTCCTGTATTCCCATATGTTATTCACATTACACAATGCGAATTTATAAAATTCATTAATTTCAAGAATTTAACGTATGGATGCAAGGCTATGTTATACATACAGCTTTTCCTCACTTAACGATGGGGTTCCGTTCCTAAGAGTAGGTCAGTAAGTAAATTGGTCATTAAGCGAGGAGCATACTATACTGGCAGTGGGTCTGTGTCAACCATCTTTAGATATCTTTTAATGTCACCTTTGCATCAGTTATAACATTTCTGGTCTATTTTTAAATGCTTATACAGTAGTGTACAGTACACAGTGATGAACAGAATAGAGGAAATCTGCTCTAATATAGTACATTATTTAGGTTTGCATACTGGTTGTAAGTCTGAGTGGTCAGTAAACGAGTACATTGCTATATGAGGAGAGGCTGTACTCAAGTACAGTGGATCCCCGGATTACATAATTAATCTGTTCCAGAAAGAGTGACTTATCCACAAATCTGACATATTCCGAATTAATTTTCCCTATAAGAAATAATGGAAATCTAATTAATCCATTTCAGACACCCAAAAGTATTAAAAAAAATGTTTTCTACATGAAATATACATTTACCTACATAGAAAACAATGATACATGAAGAATAAAACAATAATAACATCACACTTACCTTTATTGAAGACATGGTGATGTATGGAAGATGGGAGGAGGGGAGAGGATGGAGGAGTTTACAATTGTTTGGAAGGGAAATCCCCTTCCATAAAGACTTCAGGTACCAACTCCTTATCCTGGGTTACTTCCCTCCTTTGTTTTTTTAATGCCACTAGGACCAGCTTGAGAGTCACTGGACCCGTCGCTCAAAAAGTGTTCCAGAGAGGTCTGTTTTTGGCGTATGTTAGGAATTGTGTTGGGAGACAGGACAAGATAGGCTTTCAATATGACACTAATATCAGCTCTACGGCTTATTTACCTAGCACAATTCATCTAATATGACAAACAATATTAATAACACAGAAACATGATATATACTCTAGAATGAATAAAATATGGCATCAAGAATGTCACGAATGGTGGTGTGTTGTTTGTTGTTGGGTGTATAAGGGCCACTGAAAGATAAGCCTTACAAAGTGGTGGTGAAGGCAGCAGTAGATGTGGCGGCGTTAGTTTGTAGCCCTATATACCTCCAACAACAATGGAGGAGTCAGTTTCGTGCTGTCCTTTTTCTATAGATTAATCGCTTAACTTACTTGCTACACTGTTAATGCTACACTTTATTGCTGGCTGGCACTATAGCCATTATAGACTCCTGCTGTTTTAGAACTGCACAGTGGACCCTCGGTTATCGGCCGTTCCTGTCATCAGCCAACTCGGTGATTGGCTGGTTTTTCGGCTCCTGGTGATCGGCCGTTTCGGACGCATCCGTCCACCGGCTGGGGCCGCTTGTGCGTCAGTTTGGCTGTCTTTCAGTGCAGATACATCAAAACATTTCGCTTGTTTTCCATTATTTGTGGGTTTTTCGCAGTGCAACTGCGAAATAAGTAACCATGGCTAAAAAAGGAAATTCCCAGTATAGTTTCTGTGGTAAAGAAAGTGAGAAACGCCATGGAATTTAAGCGTGAAGTGTAGCAGGCATGCAGGGAGTGTAGAAGGCATGCAGGGAGTGTAGCAGGCATGCAGGAAGTGTAGCAGGCATGCAGGGAGTGTAGAAGGCATACAGGGAGTGTAGCAGGCATGCAGGGAGTGTAGTAGGCATGCAGGGAGTGTAGTAGGCATGCAGGAAGTGTAGCAGGCATGCAGGGAGTGTAGCAGGCATGCAGGGAGTGTAGCAGGCATGCAGGAAGTGTAGCAGGCATGCAGGGAGTGTAGCAGACATGCAGGAAGTGTAACAGGCATGCAGGAAGTGTAGCAGGCATGCAGGGAGTGTAGCAGACATACATGAAGTATAACAGGTATGCAGGGAGTGTAGCAGGCATGCAATGAGTGTAACAGGCATGCAGGGAGTGTAGCAGGTATGCACGGAGTGTAGTAGGCATGCAGGAAGTGTAGCAGACATGCAGTGAGTGTAACAGGCATGCAGGGAGTGTAGCAGGCATGCAGTGAGTGTAACAGGCATGCAGGGAGTGTAGCAGGTATGCAGGGAGTGTAGCAGGCATGCAGGGAATGTAGTAGGCATGCAGGAAGTGTATAGCAGGCATGCAGGAAGTGTAGCAGGCATGCAGGAAGTGTAGCAGGCATGCAGGAAGTGTTGCAGGCATGCAGGAAGTGTTGCAGGCATGCAGGAAGTGTAGCAGGCATGCAGGAAGTGTAGCAGGCATGCAGGAAGTGTAGTAAGCATTCCAGTAGTAAGCATACTGATTTAATTGTTAAAAAAATTATTTTTTTTTGGTGAATATTTTTGTCTGGAATGGATTAATTGTACACCTACCATCCGACTTACGACTGAGTTCGGTTCCGAGAAACCAGTCGTAAGTCGAAATGGTCATAAGTCGAACTTTACTACTGAATATCAACATAACATTTTTGTAATGACTTTATTTTATTGTTTTATTTTGGTATTTCATGTTTTACTTTACTTTTTATGCTGTTAGCACTGTATTTTATACTGTAAGGTTTAGGATAAACACTGTGTACAACACAAATAGTTGTTTATTTCCCAGAAATTTGGCATAAAAAACACGGTCGTAAGTCGAGTGGTCGTAAGTTGAGCAGGTCGTAAGTCGGATGGTAGGTGTATTTACATTAATTCTTATGGGAAATATTATTTCAGTTTTCGGCCATTTTGGTTTCAGGTCGAGCTTCTGGAATGGATTACGGCTGATAACTAAGGGTCCACTGTACATATTGCAGAATCACTGAAAAAGGCACATTCTCCCCTCTCAGCCCTTTACCAAAGGGCTGGCTGGCACTAGCAGCTTTCTTTGGGCTCATGGTGGCTTATTTAGCAGTTACAAGGACTAAAAAGAATGGAATAATGCAAAATGTATTGGATGAACACATGGGATCGTCCTCACTGGCTGTACATGGAGTGTTGGGGCTGCTCAGGCCCCGACACGAATGACTTATACCGAGTTCAGTGACGTTCACTGAGCCAATATTTTGACGCAAAAAGTCACTTATTCCAAATATTACTTATTCCAAAGACCTCTTAATCCGGGGGTCCACTGTACAAGGCACCCCTTACTGCCTGGAAAAAAAAAACTGGTCCTAGTTTTTAAGGAACAGAAGAACATTTGGAAATTAAGTACAGTATTGTACCTGACTAGATATTATCCAGGAATACCATACATAAAATGAGCATGCACACACACACACACGCATGTGCACATCTGTGCACACACACGTGCACATTGTACCTAATATTCAATAAAAGAAAAGCTTACTTGAAATATGATAAGGAAGAGATTCTTTTGATCAGCCTGAGCAGCTTCAAGCTTTTCTTCCATTCTTTCTATTTCTTCTTCACTAGGTCGTGGACGCTGTTCTTCATCTTCTGAAGATGAATCGTCGGAATCATTCCCAGTTCGATGCTCACGTGCCTCACTAACCTCCCGTTGTAATCGTCCAACATGTTTGTTCATCTTTCGAATGGTAGCGTGAATAATTTCCCATATGTAATTCCTAAAAAAAAATTATTTGTGAAATAACATGACACAAATTAAGACATTTTTTATTCTGAGAAATGAAACCTCTCAAACCTACCTCAAGATAAATGTTAGATGCCATTTTCATGACATATTCTCTCTATAACATCACCAGCCACATTTAAATTTGTCTAAGCAACATAAAATAATGATTTGCATTTGAAAAGTAAGATGATTTCCTAGGAAAATTTATCTGAAAATGGAGATAAATTCCTCTGTAATATAGCAGATTATTCCTCCCCCCCCCAAAAAAAAAAGAATTTTGGCTTAATACAGTGTGACAAAAAATAAACTGAGCAGTGCAACAAATTCCAATGATTTTATATCCTAACTTTGATGTCTAATATGTATCACATCAGACATTCTTGATAACAGGAAGTGAACATTCTACTTAAGTACAATGGGTGGTGAAATACTTCAAGGAAGTTAAAAGCCTTAACCAAATTTTTATGTTGACAAGGAAGGAGATTGACACCAGAATTTTCTCTTCGACTCTTCTTGAACAAGGATTGTTGGTAAAAAAAAAAAAACAGCTGCCCTACATGTAAAGAAGTTATAGCAAAGCCTCTGCTTTTGCAAAAACCACTCTTGAACTCCCAAGCAGGGTGTAATGAAGTGTTGGAAAGAATGTGGAAGAGAATGAAGGAAGGTGGGAATGTAGTGGTGAGTATGATAATCTGAGGGAAGGAGGGAGTGGTCAAGTCCCGTACCTCAACCACTAAAATATGTCTAGTATGTGGGAGCAGTGGCTATTTTAGCCCAATTAAATAATATAATTCTTTAGTCTACAGTTCTTTACCAATCTACCTAAAAAAAAGAAAACTTTATAACATGCTTACAACATATTTAAAATGCCAATGCACTTCATAAAAAACTAACAAAGAAAAAATATTCTTAATTCAGTTTAAAGAAAATCATTATTAAACCTATGTACAATTCTTGACCAAGCTCTACCAAACAAATGAGAGCTCACTTCACTTGCTTAGAATGAGCATTAACAAATTATGAATGCATTTGGTAAAAAACCTGACAAAACATTATTTAAAATAATTTCTGACTGTATCTGCACTGATCATAGTTGCAGATCATTGTTGCTCACCTAAGTATTATAGTTAACGGGTTTCAAAACACTAACGTTGTAGGTAGGAAATATCATAAGACAGACTCCTACTGTATATATCTGTATCACTTACTTTCACTTACTTTGCAAACTCTGGCATCATTTCCTTGCTGAATATCCAATTTGCTACAGAAGCACACGAGACAATCTGGGTGCGAAGGAACTTATCACATAGCATAACCATCATCTGCTGGTGGTGATCCCAAACTTCATGCATCTCACGTAGCACCAGGATCTGAGCTTCTTCATTACTGCCAACTGTAGATTCAAAAACCTGCCAATGTGATAAACCTGGTTATAACTGAAAAACTTTGAACATCTAATCATTGTTAAGTATATGAATACTTTGAACATCTAATCATTGTTAAGTATATGAATAACACTGAAAAGAACTTACTCAGTACTTCACTAAACAAAATCTCATTTTACTGAGCTCAAACTCTTATAACCTCTTTAATAGTTTAACCTCGGGGGATTTTCCCAGCCTTCAAACAATAACCATATGCAAAAATCTTCCTCTTACAAAATCACATCTGAAATGCCTTAAAGAACTGAAGAATACTGAAACGTTTGACAGTCACTACTTGTTTTCACTTCGAAAAATATAAAAAGGATGGAGACTACCTTTAGTAGCCACAAATAACTGACTAACAGAGGTTACAAAAAATTAAGTTTACATATCCAGTCACAAATGAAGAGAAACAGTTGATAACCTGGTGAAATGACGCTGGTGACAAAAGTCACTATAACCCATATTTTGTAGGACAATAAGTGACAAAGAGGTTAATCCATATCTTGATTGCTTTCAATCATCTATCATATGTCAAAGATGTTCAACATAAGTATGAAGAATGTGTAATAAATGCTTGCCTTTAACCCTTTGACTGTTTCAGCCGAATACTATATATGTCTTGCGAGCCAGTGTTTCGGACATATATATGTATACTCAATAATTCTAGTGGCTTCAAATCAAGCAGGAGAAAGCTGGTAGGCCAACATGTGAGAGAATGGGTCTGTGTGGTCAGTGTGCACTGTATAAAAAAATCCTGCAGCACGCAGTGCATGAGAGAAAAAACTTTGTGTTTTTTGATTAAAACACCGCCTTTGAGGTGTATTTTCCTATAGTATTTATGGTTTTATTCTCATTTTCTTGGTCTCATTTGATAGAATGGAGAACATATTACAGAAATAGAGATAATTTTGATTAGTTTCACGATGAAAACAACCTTGAAATTGAGCTCAAACTAGCGGAAATGTTCGATTTTTACCAATGTTCAGGAGTAAACAAATCACACCACACGTCCAATACACATCAACTGGGGAGTCTAATATCCTTTCACTAGTGGACTGATATTATTTATACCATTTTTACAATAATGCAGTAGTCTGCATAACAGTTAATCTTCTATTTTTTTGTGTGAATCAAAAATCAAAATAAAAAGCAAGAGTAACATAAGAGGGGTCTGGAGACGTGACTAATGAACAGAGGATATGTTATTTTAGTGCCAAGAATGTCTGCATTGTTTATTCTGGACCCTATTTTGAAATTGGCATCTTTTTTTAATTTGCGTGAAATTGGCCAAATTGCCAATTTCTGACCACTTTATTGGGTAGTTGAAATCAGTAAATGGGCAGTTTCTTGTACTCAATTGATAGAAAAAATGAAGTTCTAAAGAAATAGCTATGAGTTTCATCGAATGGAATAATGGAATCGGCCGAAAATAGGGCTCAAATTCGGCTAAATTGCCAATGCGTACATATCGCAGAGATCGCTAACTTCGCGGGAGCATAATTCGGTAAGTTTTTGATCAAATTTTGTACTTTTGGTGTCATTACCATCAGAAAAAGTTTCTCTATAATTTCAAAAAAACAAAATTTTCCTAGAATTTTTTAGACACCAGGAGACACTTCAGGATTTGAGGTTGTGACAGTCAAAGGGTTAAATGGCATTCCTTTGGTTTATCAGCAATTCATATCATTCATCCAAAATGGGCCAGATTACTGAATAAGACTACAATACAGTGGAACCTCAGCTTACGAGTGTCCCAACATGTAAATTTTTTGAAATAGGAGCCGTCACTTGGTCAATTTTTTGCTCTAAGTTACGAGCCAACACCCAAGTCACAAGCAAGCTACCCCGCTTCCCCCTCAACCTACAATCCACCTCATTTGTTTATCTACGATTTCATGCTTTAACCCTTTCAGGGTCCATGCTGTAGATCTATGGCTTTACATTGAGGGTCAAACCGTAGATCCATGCCATGAGCTCAGCTCACTCTGATAAGCTGTTAGTGGTAAATTTTTGCCAAGATATGAGAGAATACATCTATGTGATATGTGTGCACCACATGAAACAAATCCTGCAGCACACAGTGCATAACGAGAGAAAAAACTGAGACCGTAGTTTTCGATTAAAACAGCGACTTTGCAGTGTTTTTCATATGTTTTTTATACTTGTACAGTGGACCCTCAGCTAACGATGGCATCAGCTAACGTTAAATCCAGCCAATGATACATTTTAACGCAAAATTTTTGCCTCAGCTAACACTAAAAAACTCGCCCAACGTGATTCGTTCGAGACGCGTCCACGTGTGGCCTGAGTGCGCCTCAGTTGTCCCGTGGGTGCCAGTCTTTACAAGTCAGCCAGTGTGGTCGCATCCATGCATACAATTGGAACATTTCGTATTATCACAGCGTTTTTAGTGATTGCACCTGCAAAATAAGTCACCATGGGCCCCAAGAAAGCTTCTAGTGCCAACCCTGCAGGAAAAAGGGTGAGAATTACTATGGATATGAAAAAAGAGATAATTACTAAGTACGAAAGTGGAGTGCGTGCCTTGGAGCTGGCCAGGTTGTATACCACACCCCTATCAACCATCGCTACTATTGTGGCCAAGAAAACGACAATCAAGGAAGCTGTTCTTGCAAAAGGGGCAACTTTGTTTTCAAATAAGAGATCACAAGTGATAGAAGATGTTGAGAGACTGTTATTGGTGTGGATAAACGAAAAACAGATAGCAGGAGATAGCATCTCTCAAGCGATCATATGTGAAAAGGCTAGGAAGTTGCATGAGGATTTAATTAGAAAAATGCCTGCAACTAGTGGTGATGTGAGTGAATTTAAGGCCACCAAAGGTTGGTTTGAGAGATTTAACCCTTTCAGGGTCCGTCCCGTAGATCTATGGCTTTTCGGTGAGTGTCCAAACCGTAGATCTACGCCAAAATTCTAGCGCCGTCAAATTTAGCGCGAAAGCACTCATAGGCCTACATGTGAGAGAATGGGTCTGCGCCGTGGGTGTGCGCCGTAAACAAAAAATCTAGGTGCCTGCATAGCATTGTGGGAACGCCGGCTCATTCACCCTTGTTCACCATGCCTCGTCGCAAGTCAGCTCTCACTCCCCGGAAAATTGGGACTCTCCTCTTCCTGTCTGATAGTTCTGACACTGATGGAAGTGGAAATGAAGACGAATTCTACAGCTTTGATAAGTTAGTGACCGAAAATAATGACCAGGATATCGATAATAGTGCAGAAAACCCCGACGATCCTCGACCTTCTACCTCTGGTGTGGGCACTCGTGACTCACGGTCGGGTGTTCCTAAACGTAAGAGAAAACTAATATTTTCCTGTGGCCAGGCCTCTGACTTCAGTAATGACGATGATTCTGACGTGGATTGTGATTTTATTGCGCTCGACGATCATTCGAGTAGTGATAGTGAGGAAACATATTCACCAGTGAAGCGTCGGTATGTTCGCCGCCGCATGCGCTCGGGTAGTGTACCCTATGCTGTGCCCAGGGGACGGAGTACATCCCGGAGTACATCCCGTGGCCCTACACCCGTTTTAGGTAGTGATAGTGAGGATGATGTGGCTACACTTGGCATGGATGGGCCACAGGCATCAGTGGATGGTGTTAGTGGTGCTGGTGGTGGTAGTGGCACCGCCATGCGTGACTCACTGTGCCACGCGGGGACCCACGCTGCTGACTCGTCAGTTCAAGGACAAAGCGGAGCGTCAGCCACCAGCCCGCCACAACCACAACCACCCGTACAACCAGCCTATGATGTCCAGTATCCACCAGCAAACCATATCTGGGATTGGCAGCAAAATCCCAATTTTGTTCCCAGCCCTCACCACTTTGATGACTCTCAAAGTGGAATTCTACTACCTGTCCCCTTGGAACCACGGCCAATGAACTGGAATTCTTTGAAATTTTCTTT